CATCACAATTTTTTCCGACAGGATCTCTTCAACTCCTGCCGAATTTCTTTAAAACAGGGATACTATATGCAGCATCTTGGGGAGCTACAATTAATCGTAAATGGTTGGGTTGGACGGAGTGTACATGATCTCTGGCATATATTCAATGCCCTTGAAATCTGGAATCTTAAGTTTCACATTATTTCATTTCTTATTAAACAAAACACACTCTTACTGAATAAATTCATGTGAAACTATTTCTCGACACCACTATAACAATATTGTGTAAGTATATTGTTCAATTGGCAAATGAATGTACCAATATCATTTAACTTTTAGATTCTTCTATTTTGCCAATAGTGTATATAATTGAACTAAGAGTTAAAAGGTTTATTTCCTGAAACGAAATTTTTATTTCTACTAAATTTTTATTTGTTTTTTTTTGTTAAATCACATGAGAATTTCTAGCAAAAAAAAAAAAACCAAAGAAAAAAAATAACCAACAATATAAAATGAAGAAGTTTAATCCAAAATAATCTCAATTCAATTGGAAATGGTCAGTTTAGCACAATTGGGATTTTATACATGTATACATACATATATATTTTTCTATTTCTATTTTTATGTTTCTTATTTCGGCTTTTCTTTTTTCTTTTTATTGTTTATACTTGAGTTCAGTTGAAAGTCAGTCAAATAACGAGCCTAAAAAATATAATAGTAAGTGCAACTGGCGTTAAGATTATTGCATAAAAATCTTAATATAGTACTTGAAAAATATTTAACTTTTCATATATTTATTGTTACTTATAGTGTTTTGTATAGTCATAGTGCATAAAATAATATTATGTTTATATACAAAAAAGGACCTACATAATTGTCTAAGATAATAAAATGTACATACATAAGTATAGGGGTTTACAAAACAAAGTGTATAGTGAGGAACATAATTGAATTTTCCAATATAGATCCCAAAAAAAAAAATCAATTTTACTTTAACTGATTTTTTATTACATTATGGTTTGATTCTAAGGGATACATTATAATACCTGCGAATATAAATATATATATTATGTATATACATATATGAATGTAAAGTAATAATAAATGGAAGACAAGAGCTTATTCACATTTAAAGAAAATATTGATAAGAGATAGAATTTTATACAATTATACAAGAGTACATAATATAACAATAATATAACAAGTACATAATATACATAATATATATAGAAAGAGTACATAATATAACAATAACAGTATAACAATATAACGTATAACATATACACAATGTGTATGCCATGCAATACAAGGTGCTATGATGGTAAAATTATAGCACTTTTTGTGAGAATTCAAATCGTAGTGCCCCTCTCTCTTCACTTAATTACTGAACAAATCTGCATACCTATACGTACATTAAAGGTGGTCAATCAAAAATTACCCCAAAATTTGCTACTATTTATGAGCAAGCATATCAATGGCAATTCTTAGCAAAAGAATACTGCATTTCATTAATTTTTGATTAATTGATATCGGTTAGTCTTTCCGCCCTATTATTTTAAGGATGATAACTGAGATCTGATGCAACTAAACTAAAAATATTTTGAGAAATGCGGTATCGGATACGAGCTATAAGTTGCACTGCATTTGAAAGTTTATTTTTTCCTCACACTTATTCCTAAGTATATAAAGTGGAGACTCTGTCCGTATCTAAATGAATTGATTTGCTTTGTGATATTCTTCCATATGCATACATACTATACACATGTATTAATATTAATATGTTTGTACAGTGCCTTTTAAATGATAGTTTGAACTTATCGTGTACATAATGAATATAGATTGACAACGATATAATGTATAATTATACATACTTACATGTGCATTCCTACATAAAAGAAAATGTTATTTTTCCGGACTTGCACAAACATACATATAATGTATTGTGAACAGAATTTAATATAACATTATTGAAACAAAACCAAAAGAATACTGAATAGAAAAAAGGAATTCAATTGGAATTAACAACTATAGAAATAACACTAAAATTGAATTTTTTTTTTTTTACAAAAAAAATTTAAAAAAACAATAGAATATCATGAAAAAAAATTACAATACATATAAAGAAATTTATTTTTATAGCACCACGTCATCTTGTTCTAGCTTTTATTACTAGAATATTATTATGCTGCGAGCAAAATAACTCTTTACTTTAATTTATCAGAATTTTGTTAAAAAAACACCCTAGTTACAATTTAAAAATAATTTAGTCGAAATTCTTTAATAATATTCAGTGTTTTTCTTCTTCTACTGCATTGTCACTTTTGAACTTTAGTGATTATATAATACTGTTTACCAGTTGCCAATGTATATGATCCGATTTTCGGCCGTATGCATCAGTTCACTTATATTAGAATTAGCTGTCCACTGCCTAATATTTTTTAGCCATGACATCTGCTTTCTTCCATTACACCTTTTTCCTTCAATTTTTCCTTGGACAGTAAGCTTAAGTAATTCGTATAATTGTCTCTTATCAAAATATGACCATTATAGGATATTTTCTGCCGTTTAATTTTTTGAAGTAACTCTCGGTTTTCGCCAATTCTTCTTAGAACTTCTTTGAAACATGTTCTGTCCATGAGATTTTCAACATTCTTCGATAAACCCACATTTCAAATACTTCGAGTTTATTTATATCTTTAACTTTTATTATCCAAGCCTCCATACCGTACAAAAGGACCGATCACACTTCATAAATTTTGTGCGGATTCTAAAACTCTGATCTCTGCAACAAAATAATTTCTTGTATTTTAAAGAAGCTCCTCTGGCCATTTCAATTCGGTTCATATATTCAGTAAACGTTGTTAAATAAAAATATATTTTCATTCTAACCTATATAGCAGGCTAATCTACTATGAGCACTATGCATTTGAAATTAATATGAAAATTTAATATTTCTTATTTGATTTCATTAAAAAAATTTCATCATTCTTATTTGCACTTTAAAATTTTGAATATATTAAAAAGCTTTATACAAAACTCAATCATCTTACAAATTTATAATATAATTTTATATCACTCTGCTTAACGAATGTGTCTTGTAACTACTTAGTTAGCTAGCTACTTTAAATTTTCTTAAATAATTATCTTGACGTTTATTAAAACTACACAATATATTATACATAATATGTAATAAAAATGAAGAACAAAGGATACAATGATGATAAGAGAAGGCAAATACAATAAAAGAGTATAGGTAGCAATATCACCCCACACTATTTTACATATCAAAATGGTGAAAAGTCAATTTTTCTCTCATGACATAATAATTTTAAATCACGTAATAAAGAAAATAGTTTTACCTTATTAAAATACTACACGTTTGCTGTATAAAAAAAATGTAAAAAAGCGATTTTACTTTCCTTAATAAACGTTTTTGCTCATGAATGTGTGTGTGTGTATTTTGAAATTGAGAAAAATGAATATAAAATTCACCAAATTTTTATTTTCACCTTTTTCCTCATTTATTTAAAATTCTGTAAAAGTTTGAGTTCATATACAGTTCTTTTGCAAAAAGTAATGAAATGGGAATGTGATTTAAATTCATAAAATTCTCAAAAAAAAAAAAAAAAATTTTTTTTTCGAAGTTGATTTGAATACCGAACATTAATATTATTATGTATACACATTATGGAACAACATTGATTTATAATATGGAACATATTATGCACATAGTCTATATTAAGATTAAATATATTATGTATAGGTATCTACCTATAGGTGTATTATAGGAATACATTAAATTAAGTGTTTGTAATAAATTTTTCCATTTTACAACATGAAGGTGAAATCTACTGTGAAATTCTTTAAAAAATTTTTTTTTTGGTTCTATTTGCGCATACTGCACAGTAATGTCACAAAAAAGTTGGCTCTTTTAATGTATTTAATGAAAAAAATAACAAATTCAAATAAAGAATATTAGTTTTTTTTAAGCAAACCTAAAAGTGTAAAATATTTTGTTTCTAAGCCAAAGGGGCAACCGACGACAATCGCCTATGGCATTTTAAACCTCAAGAATATTTCATAAAAAGTCAGACAATTAAAACAAAACAACTTCTTTGACTTATACGACAAGAATCATAGTGTGTGTACTGCCTAAATTCTCAAATTAATCCTAAACTTGAATTTTTCCTACAATCGTCCACTACATCATATGACTCTCTGAGCAATTCATCATCTGTCTGATAAGGTGCCAAAATTTATAAAAAGTTCTATTGTACAAGATGTTAAATATAATTATACGTTTTATTGTAGAGCTTTAAGTCCCTGTATATCATATTGTACAGAGAACGAAGAGCTCGGTGTTCGAACATTTTGTTTAATCCAAGATATTACAAGCGTTTCTAAGAACTTTAAACTTTTAAAATAACATTAAAGCTTAATAAACTTTTAAAATTACGAAAAGAAAAATATTTTTCGAAATGACTGAGTTAGTGGATGATCAATATTTTTGAATAATTTTTAAAAAGTTTAAAACTTCTAGATTTCAAGAAATTTCACATTTTTCGAAATCCGATGGTTTACTGTTAATTAAGAAACTTTTTTTGAATTTGATTTTATTTTTTATCTTTATCAAAATGCAAGTAAAATTTTTATTCTAAGAAAATTTTGACATATATTATTTATTTATCATTTTAAATTATAAGGTGTATGACATTTGTAAAATATGCACATACACACTGGCATTATAAAACAATATTATTATTTAAATTATAAGCAAAATTATATGAACATTTCGTATAATTGAATAATTTAAAATTTTTTCATAATCAACCGTATATTCACAAAAAAATATGAAAATGAATGAAATTTGAATAAAATGCAGTAAATTAACTGTGAATAAATAATATGCGTGAACTAATTAGTTTAATATAGAACAAAATAATCATAATACATAAGCTAATATCAGTGAAATATTAATTTTAATAATCTATAATAATATTGTTTCTTTTTTCTATTTACAGTTGGATCTAGAGATTCTTCTAGCAACTCTAATTCAAATAATCATGGTCAATCAAATAAATTTCCAGTATTGGTATTTGTACATGGTGAATCATATGAATGGAATAGTGGTAATCCTTATGATGGTTCTGTATTAGCAAGTTATGGTCAAATATTGGTTGTGACTGTTAATTATCGTTTAGGTATATTAGGTATGTATTTTTTATTACATGAATATTTTATAATTATTATTTTAATTGGAAAATTTTTAAAATATTAATTTGATTGATTTAAATTGAAGAATCCTCTTATTTAACTAGTACAAATTAATATAAAATTTATTTAATGTACATAAACCTAACAATGTTTAACACCGTTGTTATGATACAACAGTGTCAAACTTTGTTAGGTTTATGTACATTTTTTCAGAATTTTTCGTTCAGACTTTTGAACGAAAAATTTCTATTTTCCGTAATAGAAGTTCTATTTTCCGTTTCTGAACATTCTTCTCAAGATCTCCTTTGGTCTAACTTTATTTCTTAGCCCATTGGGTTTCCAGTTTTGGATTTGACTAGTGATATATTTTTTTTTTCCTTCACGGTGACCGAGGCCCTCAGGCCCCCCTCAAGTCGACTCATAGGATCTTTTGTGATTCCCATCCTCACCTACATTAGCTCTATACCTAGGCTCCTGACAAACCGCAGTATGGCAGCTATATCAAGCTGCGAGATCCTCCCCGGGGTCACAAAGCTCCCTCGAAGCATCTCAGTTGCAGTCGAGGAACCGTCTCGCACTCACACAGTAAGTGCTCCATGGTTTCGTCCTCCTCCACATAAACGGCAGACTTCGTCCGCCACCCTGCCTATCCTTTTCAGATGAACCCTCGAGAGTCACTGTCCAGTGAGAACTCCGCGTAATGTCCTCAAATTTGGGCAACTGGTCAGACCCCGTTCAGCATGGTCAGACCCCGTTCCACCAGTCCCAGGGAAGCACAAATTTCTTAGAGTGCGACAGGCGCAGGCGGCTATTCCTGTGTTCAATCCTGGCCCGCTCCTCCCATTCAATTAGGGCACGCAAGACGGTTGCCCTGAGCACCCCAAAGCATGACTCCGGCCCAATGAAAGGAGCCGCCGCTCCCACCTCGCAAGACCATCAGCTCTCTCATTCCCACCCACGCTAATTTGTTATGCTAGCCAGAACGCCAAGAACGTCAATGCATTCTTTCAGCAGCCTGGATCCTACTACATCAGTGGAGAGGACCCCAAGAACGGCCCTACTGTCCGACATAATAAATGTCCTGCTCCTTCTGATGTTCCTTCTGATACATTCCAGAGCGCACAACCCTATGGCATATGTCTCAGCCTGAAATATCGATGGACAGTGCCCGAATGCCCTTGATATGTTGCGCCTTCAACGTACACACCCACGCCCACCCCTTCATTGGTTTTGGATCCATCCGTATAGAAGACCACAGCCCCAGGGTTAAGCGATGGTCCCCCCCATCCCAGATCTCCCTCAGACCAAAGTCCAAGGGCATGCCCATGTCATGTAAGCCACTGGCTCACACGACTTTTTTGGCTCCCTGTATTGCCGTATCCGCAGTGCCACCTTCGTAGCCTCCCCCTTTAGGTGAATATGAAGCGGGGCGAAGGCCAAGAAAGCCTCCATCTAAGCCGTTAGGCACGTGCTTAGGCTACCCGTTACGCCAAGGCGTGCGAGGTACTGCAATCGGGAGAGAGCAGCCCGCGCCGTCGCCTGCTCAGCTTTCTGACACCATATGACAGAAGAATAAGTTACAATTGGTCAATTGTAGTGCAGGTCCAGTAGAGCATTTTAGGTCTAAAACCCCACGTTTTTCCATAGAGCCTGGTCGAAGCCCACAGAGCCCGGGTGGCCCTAACTATGACTCCATCAAGATGAGGCACCCAGTTTTGTTGCTGATCCAGGATTACTCCCATATATTTGACCTCCTTGGAGGCCCAATGCTTGTGTCCCCCAGGAGCAACGGGCGCAAACTAAACTTCCGCCGCCTAGTAAATGGTAGAATAACTGCTTTTCCCGGGTTAATGCCAACACCCTCGAACTGCGTCCCGTCGTATAATGTTCAGGGCACCCTGCATTCCGTCAGCCACGACGTCACCGTACCGGCCCCTCACAACAACGACCAGATCATCAGCGTTATATGCACATTATACCCGCTATGAGTCAGCTCGTACAGCAGCCCGTCCATTACCATGCACCAGAGCAAGGGAGGCAGTGACCTCTTGAATGTATCCACAGAAGGCTCGCCATGTCTTCCTCTTAGATATGCGAATCTACGGTTATTTTATAGGTTTTAGTGCAGTGACTGCTCTTAGTCTTTAAGTTCAATGTAATAGATGGATGTGTTGGTTTCGACAGTGTTCTTTTCATTATGCTCAATTGTTCTTAAGTTCATGGGAATAGACTACTATTCTTACCTTCTATCGAACACAAATTGCGGTGGCTCCTGCTGGAGAGAATATAAATTTTTCAATGAAGTAACATAGCTGCTTTGTTCTGCGGCTGTTTTACCTTCTCTGGGTATATTGTTGTAGAATTTTCTCTTATCATTTCTTGTTATTTTGTTAATTATTCAGCTCATGTTGCTTTTAAGATCCATTCTAACTAGTCACGCCTAATGGCTCCCGAGATTTCTTCATCGGCTTAACAATAGAGACTTTGCATTTATTTTGATTTCTGTTTTGTTGAGCTCCTGTTGAATATGTGATACAAATTCCTGATTTATATGTTCTGATTTAAGCTTGTGAGAGTTGAGCCCTCTCAACCTGCCACCGATTTATATCTTTTCTCTTTTGGCTGCTAATTTGAAATTTATATCCGCTGTTAGGAGTATGTGATCGCTCTGAACATCCGTTTCCCTCCAAGTTCTCATGTCCATTATTGATTTTACCCATTTTCGACATATACACATGATTTATTTGATTTTGTTGTTCTGCCACCCGGGTATAGCCATATCCATGTATATCAATCTATATAATGTATATAAAATATCAATGCTTCGTTTTGTAGGAATATGGTACCGGTTACCTAATGGTCATTCTGTTCGGATAAGCCTTTCAATCTTTCTACATTATTATTTCGTCTGCCACTGCTGCACGCCCAATGGTTTTCCACGTTTTTTTGTTGCCAACCATCTCATTATAATTCTTCGAAGTCTCGCATTATAATTAGAATGTGATTTCACTTAATTAGGTTTGACAAAATTCTAATTTATGGAAAATTAATACAACAATTTTACAAATTATTCTACAAATATCACAACATTTTTCAATTTAACATTTAAAGTAAATAAGGAAAAATTTGAAAAAAACAGTCCTTTTTTCTATGGGTCATTGATATTGTAACCCCACAAAATGTACAATTTAATTGTGTCCTTTTATTCTGAATTTTAATAAAAAATTACATACATAATCATATAATAAAGTAAGCAATTTAAGCATTGATATCAAAAATAAAATAAACGTCCATTGACTTTTTTAATTTTTCTATCCTTTTTCAATTTCTTTTAGTATTTACAGCAATATACACTTGTGTATCTAATAAGTACACATACAATAGACAATATATTTATAGTACTATAAAACGTTTAACTATGATACAGATGTCAGACTCAGATGAACTATAAATTAGATCGCTTTTTACAATAAAATACACACACATTAACAAACTCATGAAGAAAAAAATTAAATTTTATTTTACTTGCTTTACTTTTTTTCTCCTTTCATCATCCTGACAACCGTTTAATCTTGCAAAAATTAAAGAATACACAGGACCCATAATTATTATTTTTATATCTAATTTTCCTTCACAAAATATATGTAATGACAAAAAAAAACAGAAAATGCTTGAAACTCTTCATTTCATCATGTAATTTTATGATAAGAAATCTTAAACGTATACAAAGTACATGTGACACATATGTACTTCATACTAGATACAAATCTATACACTTGGGGATATTATTTAGTAAATGAAAAAAACGGTTAGGGTAGGTTAGGTAAACTTAACATAAGATATTTTGAATACACATTATAATTTTAGCGTGGGCTCGAACAATATATTGTTGCCGCAATGCTGCAATAACGTGTAACTCATACTCAAATCAAATTTGATCTGCTTTTCCCCTCAGTTCACCGAGACGCAGCCAATAAAAATCATTCCCTTTATATTTGAAACTAGAAGGTATTAAATTGCAATATATTGAGATAGTATGAGCACTAAGCGCGCAACTTAGATAATAACTGCAGCTAGATATTATAGCATAATTCAAATTTTCACATCATTTACACAAAATACTTTTAATCAATTTTTAATAGTAAGCTTTCCTCTTCATAATACAGATCAAAACTGCAGCCACTGAAAGATATAAAAAACTTCTGATACCTCCTTGTTTATAGGGTTCTTTTTTCATGAATACAGCGAAAAACCGAAATAAAAGAATAAAAAATAGAAAAAAAAATTCACCGAAAATATTTTTTATAAAGTTAACCGAAAAAAGAAAAAAAAAACATAATCTTTGTCTTGTTTTACAGTGTAATCGAGGTAGTAGAGAGGTACTTTACTCTATATAACAGTACCTATTATAATAGTAATAAAATAAACGTGTTAAGTTAATTGCATATGTGATGATGATAGAAAAGAAAAATGAGAGTTACTTATATAATTTATTGTGTTAATAACAAGTGTCGTCTTGTCTGGTTAACAAAAATTAATTCATCATAATTTTCTTCGAAAGCAAAAAGGACCAAGAAAAACACAAAGTACATTACCAAAATAATGGAACGATGAACATGATAGGTGACATGTCATGAAATAATCTAAGATTAAATCGCTAAAAATTAAGAATTTAAAAAAAAAATAAGAGAAAAGAAAAGGAAAACAAGAATAGAATGACATTAAAATTTTTCTTCCAATCTCTATTAAATACACAAGGGAATATAATTATTGTTTTCAAGGAGATCTGAAAGAAAATATTGGAATCTTGGAATATTGGATTTAACAACGCACGGATAAAAATGATACGTTTATGTTCTTAGATGAGAAGAACATTTACTGTCAGTTTTTGTTTTTGAAAGTAATAAATAATGGCATCCTTAATTTTCGACTCGTCTTGGTAGTGTCTTTTCAAGAAATGATTATTCGTAGCATTTCTGCTTAATAAATAAGTAACATGTAACTATGTTCATATATGTATACATAAATAAACGATAGCAAACTCCATATATGAGTTGTAATACGTGTTCCGAAATTTATCATGTTATTAATTTTACGATATAGCTATTCTCTAGCTTTAAAATTTAAATAAAATATCTTGGTATAAAATTAAGGAAGCCTTAAGGCTATTTCGATAGTGCATTAGTGTACACTGTAGTTTGATGGCCGACCTGAAGAAGCTGCATAAAGTTGGAAGGAACAATTCTAAATTGGAAAAATATTGAAAATCACAACTATCTCAGGCAAAATACTGTGTAAATATGAGGTGATTTTACTTAAAAAAATTTCGTGTTTTGCCCTTTTCTTGCTGTGTAATGCAGCTGTAGTTAAAGTATAGTCATTTTTAAGATGCCTTGATGTGGAGAAAATATTTCAAATTAAAAAATTTTTCAAATACATATTATAAATATATGTATATTATAAAAATCACAATAAAATAAATAGCCAATCTTTACCTAGTTTATTGAAGAATAGAATAGCATAATGGAGAATATCTAATTTAGATCAACAAAGAGTATATTAAATTTTGTATAAAATAATTAATGTTCTGTAATTTAAGTCTTGGATTTTCTAAACAATTTGTTAAAAATTTTTACCTATGAAGGTAATGGAAAGTAATTCTTAAATGCTTTTCCTATAGGACAAGTTTTTCTTAAAAAAAAAATTATAAAAAAAAGAAGTCAATAAAAAATATTTCCGATTTTCGGTTTTTTTTTCTCCTAATTAATTTTATTTACAATATTTTTAAATACTAATTAAACGCCTAACAAAAAATTTAAGAAAATTTTTTTTTTTTATAAAACTTTTTCTAAAATTTAGCAACTTTGTTAAAACAAAAACACAAGATACTTTAGAGTCCCTTTTGCAACGTAATTAATAAATAATTAAATTATTTTCGAATTACTTTTTTTTTGTAAAGGAAAATTTGTTTAATAAGAAATTTTACTTAAATACTTGGAAAAAATTTTGGATGTTTTCGAAAATTAAAAAAAAAGAATTTAATTCTATGTCGTTTAAAGTTAAATAATTAGAAAAACGTTTATTAAACAAAATTTAACTAAAAAACTAGAAAAAATAGAGTTGATCAATTCTGTGATACCCGTACTAATTTGTTATACTATGGACGAATAAATAGGCCACTAAAAACAACTGACTATAAGATAGAGTATGACTTTGGTTGTTGCTTTGATTGTTACGCTGGCTTGTTTTACAAAAAAAAATTAAATAAATTTTCCACGTGGTGTTGAATGTTTTGTATCCGGCTATATTCAACCACGAATTTGTAACACTTCGAACACGTACGTTCGGATGAAAATAACAGTTGCCGTATTACCATATTAATTTATAAAAAATTTGAGTTCTGTAATTTTAGCAAACAATATGAACAAACAATTATTGAAGTTGTATGACAGCTACCACAAGAAATCAAGAAATTTCAACGACTTTTGTCAAATATGCATAAACGCCCCAATAACATACTTGTTCCGATCACAACCAATTTAAATAGGGTTCCGGTATTCACTATTATAAATCATTTGAGAAAATTTGACAAGCTTAGCTCAACTAGTTTTTGAGCTACTGCTGGAACGGCCGGATAGATATGGTTAAAACGACTCAGAATTCAAGGCTGATCAAAAACATACACTTATATCTATATTTTAGACCATTATTTCTTAGAGTTACAAACGGCAAGGCAAATTTATAGCGCATTCGCAAGGGTATAAAAAAAGAAATTAAACGAAATGTCCTCAAAAAATTTTTTTGAATGTAAAGAAAAAAATTATAAAAAATTCAAACCATTCGCCGTTAGATTTAAAGAAATTTTTTAATAATTTAATTATAGATTTGCTAATTTTATACTTCCAATCTCGTATCAATTAACCAACTTCGTATCAATTTCATGGCTCATACTAATACAATCAGTTTGGTAGTCTCCTATATATAACCACAGGTACACCTTCAGAAATTCGACGAGAATGTTTCAATAGTCTTCGACACACTGGAGCCTGACTCCTTCAATTGTTTCCTAAACTCTGTTTTTAGCAAAAAATTTAAGTATACTAAGCATATTAATAAAATTCTATGTTTAAATTTTGAATAAATAAAAAAATCCATAAAAACAAAAAAAATATTTTTAAAATCACCTCAAAATTTCTATCTGAAACAAATTTAATAAAAGTTTTATTGCATTTTATTTTATGTAAAAATTTTACAAAATACATGATTTATACTTACGTAGGTACTACATTAAACAGCTTAAGTGTTAACATACACTATATATGTTATACTCTAAGTATATACACTTGAATTAAACTTAAGTAAAATTTAAAATATTATTTTCTAAAACTTATTTTTTATAAATTTTTTTATCTTTGTTTTTTCTGTGTTTCCATTTTTTACTAGGATTCCTTAATGCAAATTCTGGCAGATATACATTACCTGCAAATTATGGTCTAATGGATATCTTAGCAGCACTTCATTGGTTAAAAGAAAATATTGCAGCATTTGGTGGTGATCCACAGAGTATAACATTAGTTGGTCATGGTACAGGTGCTGCATGTGTTCATTTTTTAATTGCATCAAGTGCTGTACCAGAAGGTGAGAATAATTTCAATGTATAATAGTCATTAAAATTTTTTAAGTAACTTTTTATTTAATTTATATTTAGGTGTAGATATGGGTATATGAAGTCTTCGTATGTGAAAGCAATTTAAAATATTAATTATTTAGTTTGTTAATTTTCTTCTTCATTTGCCCTGAATTTTACATGGTGTATTTTTGTTTCAGTGTAAATTTAAAAGATAAACTAAAATACAGTCTCTTTAATTAAACTATTTGACTTTGTACCGCACGTTTTAAAAAACAACTTCAAGGTCTAAATACCCTAATTATATTGGCATTCCGAAATTAAAACTAATTAAAACTAAAAGTAATTTCCTGCATTTCGATAGCAAAAAACCTAACAACCTTCAGTGTTAAAAATAATAATTATCGAAATTTGTACTGCACACTCATTATGCGCCAGAAGTGTTATAAATGAGTCTGTGATTTTCTCTCAGCTCTCATGTATTTTTCTACCCAATACAGAAAAAAAAATAAAATCCATTGATTGAAATTTGTGCAATTTAAAATACATTCTACATTTCAAGTACTATTTGAGCAACAAAATTTTGGTAAGATACATAAAATGTTGTGCTTATAAATTTTAGCATCTTACATGGAATGGTTAGCTTATAAATAATTTGAAATTCAATACAAAATAAATGGAATTTTTGTATATATGGTAAATATTTTCTACGTGAAGTAAAATTTAAATAGAAGAAACGAAACAAATTAAAATTTCAGTACTTTCGTGCTAGAATTAAAAATGATTTCTAGAGTTTGAGTGTTCAATCTATTGAACTAACAAATCACTTTTTCGATTATTTTAACAAATTTGAAAAAAAAAATCTTAGTGTACATATTTCTATCTTGCTCCTCATAATTTTTGTTAAATTTGTTTTTCATAGAAGAGTAAACAAACCGATTTACATTTTCTTTTAACTTAATCTTACACTTTATTTTGTTTTTTTTTTGGAAAATATTGCTAAAAATTAGATTAGTTTTTTGAAAGTTGGTAACATTTATAACTAAAAAATTTTTCTTATTTCTTTTCAATATTTTTAATATTTAAAGGAATGCTGTTTAATCGTGCCATATTAATGTCCGGATCTGGTTTAGCACCATGGTCACTTGTTGAAAATCCAGCAAAATATGCAGCAATTGCTGCACATCATGTTAATTGCTCACCAGATTTACCATTAGAACATTTAATGAAATGTTTACGTGAAGTTTCCTTAGAACAATTATTATCTGTTCCTATTAGACAACCAGAATTTGGATATGCATTCGGTCCTAGTATTGATGGTATTGTTATTAATGGTGGAGAATTTTTAAATGGTGGTGGTAATTTAGAAAATAGTAATCATGAATATGGTCATCCTGGTCCAAGAAATTCACATAGACATTATAATAAAATAAATTTTATAAATTCAGTATTTTTAAAGAAGAGTGCAATAAATAAATTAGCAAGGTAAGTTAAAAATAAATTATTAAAATTTTATTTTAAAATCAAACCCACTTTATTAATTAATTGTTATCAATCAAATTTAAGCTCAATTAAATAAGTAGGACGTCATATTTTTTTAATTGTCTTACTTGATTTTTTAAGTTTCCAATGCCTACGTGCTCAAATTCTTTAACATAAACTTTAAAAATTTTTCAATCTATTAAAGAGATTGTTAAAAAAAGCAATGGTTTTCTTTTGAAGAATTTTTTATATCATATTTTCAAAAGTGTTAAAATCATATAAAAAAAATTTATAATGACCTAAATAACCAAGTGAAATCAAAAATTTATTGAAGCAAAAGTTTAAATATTTTGTTAAAGTTTTTATAGTTTAATTTATAGATATTGTATTTGAGTGCTCTCTCCTACTCGTATATACGCATAGCATTTATTAACTAACAACTTTTAGAGCAAGTTTAATAAAGCAAGTTCTTTTTTTTCTTGTTTAAAGGTAAAAGCTTTATATCATAATTTTTAGATAGTTGAAAATAATGAAAATATTTAATAAGGTTAATAAAATCGATCGAAACTTTTTATAATTTACAAAGTTGAGAGCAGCCAGCCATAATTTAATAATAAATTTAAATTAGATATTGAATTTCTTTTCAATATTATTTTAATAATTTGAAAAATATTGTTCAAGTTAGTGGAAAATTTTTAAGAAAAATCTCACCAAGTGCCTATATAAAATATTTTAAGAAAAACTTTTATATTTTCATTTTTTTTTTTATTAAATTTGAAATTGATTTCATTTTTTTCAACCAAATTTTCCAGATTGTTTTTTTTTATCAACTTTTTTACTTTCTGTGGTTATTTTTTTTAGAAATGAAAATTTCAATATTATAAAAATCTCAATGAATCCTTATTGATTTCTTGCCTTTAAATTTTATTGACTTTCACTTCCTCAAGAACTTCTATTATACATTTTTAAAGTAAATTTTTCGATACTTTTGAAAATTTTAAAATTTTTTAGAGATGTCCAATTTAAAATAACCAAAATGATAGACATTTTATATTTGCATTTGTTTTTTTGGTAAAAAAAAAAAAAGTTGGCCTTAAAAATCTCTATGAAAATTAAAATTTTCACAAATTTATAGAACATTTTTCCCACATTTATACAAATACACATATATTTTTCTTTCCTTTTCCTACTCCCTTTGGGAGCAGAGACAAAGTTTCTTCATCTAACTATATTATGTGCAAGTAACTTTATTTCAACCCACGATTTGTAATTCTCTTCAATTTCTTTCTTTAATGACCTTCGCCACGTTTCTTTTGGTTTGCCCACCTTTCACTTGTCCTTACAATTTCACTCTAACAACCTGTGCTGAATGTTTATTCCCGGTCTTCTCAGTATATGACCAATCCATCTCCATTTTCCTCGCTTGATTCAGATCATCTACAGATTCTTGCCCCGTTAATTCCCACAGGTCTGAGTTTTTGATTCTTGTCGGCCAGAATATTCTGCAGGTACTTGTTCATGAAAACCTGATTCTTCAGGTTTCACTTCCGTGTAGTAGCACCGACTTTACACTTGTATTGAATATTTTTATTTTCGTGCCCCTATTCGAGTGGCGTTATTTCTAGACAGGCCACAGTCTCCCAAATGTCATTCTGGTAAGTGATATTCAATTCTACATATCTCTTTCAGAAACCCCGATCTGTATTGTAATTATACTATCCAGATAGCAGAACTAAGAGACATCCTCTACTTTTGTAATTCTAACTTCTGGCACTAATTTTCACATAATATAATTGTCCCAAATTTCATAAACGTAAAAGGATTATTTTAAATGATGTCAAAAATAGAATATTCAAATTACAAATCTATAATGACGTAATATTTTCCATAAAATTTTAATCAAAATAGCACTCAAAAATATTATCAATTAACCTTCTTAATTTTATTCAATTTATATTTGATTTCTCTTTCAAGTACTCTTTAAATACAAAAAAAAAACAATTATTGATCACTAATGCAATTTCAAATTGTCATTAGCTTTATTCTACAATATTATTATTTATTTTATTAAAATTTTATTACCTTTTCACCTTTTTTTCACCTTTAATAAATCCCATCGTATATCCATTAAAATTGCAATCAACTTACACTATAATAACAAAATGAAATTCAAGCACCAATATGCCACAGTTCAGAATTTCTTTTTTTTTTAAATATTATATATAAAACACATTTGAGGGCTAATATTTACATATATTACCAATGTACATACATATAATTTGCCTATAGGTTAAAAATTGTATACATACATACATAAATATTATTAATAATGATATCATTTTAATATTAAATAGAGCATAATAACCTTAAGGTTAATAGGGTTTATTCAAATAAAAAATATTATTAATTCAATAAGAATCATCACTCTTATATATTGAGCTTCTTTTATTCACGCTCTTTTGCGGAATTTCCACATATTATTATTAATAATTTTACATTGAACTTTAAAATGCTATTCTGATTTATAAAATATGTGGGCATATACGTCATAATTATTTTATCATGCTTATATCTATATATGTATTTCATTAACCATACACTTTCTTGCTGCATAAATTTTTTTTTATTAAAATTATATTTAATAAATATAGTTGAACATACTTGGAGGGGGCAAAAAAAAAAAAACTTTAAAGTGAGAGCATGTACTCACTTGTTAATTATTATTATTATTAAAGTGTCTTTAGAGTATAATATATTGTTAAAAAGAAACATAATTTTTAATTAAAAACTTAAAACAATTTTGTAAAATATGATTTTAATATAATTTTATTTCAATTCAAAAAATTTTGACATTGAATCCCTCTGTGATAGCACTACTTAATTATCTTTTATCGTTTATTGAAAATAAAATTATTATACGATATGATCTGACGTCAATAATAATACATGATGCAGTCAAAAAGGTAGTAGATTGTACATTGTAGATTCTAAGGGAACCGAGTGAGACAGAAGTAACCCCCCAAGCCAGCACAGCCATTCTTGACTTATTGTAGCCTCTCCACGCTCACGCCTATAATATCCCCGTCCCAACCACAAAGCCGGAGATATCCCTAAGGGAGTTGGACAACAGTTCCCGAACACTTGGAGACCCATGTGCCGGACAGTCGCAGAGAATGTGCACGGCGGTCTCATCGCCACCACCACAAAATCTGCACAGACTTCCCCAGTATATGCAGGTGGTACTTCACTGGGCAGTGCCCCGTGAAGAAATTCGCAATAGTGTGAACCCGGCAACTGGTCATCCCCAGCAACTCTGCGGTGAATCCGCTGGAGCGCGCCGAAAGAAACACTTTCGCATGACGGCACCCTTTCATGTCCCGCCAGCGACGGCCGTATTCCGCCGCGAGCAGGCAGGCAAGCCTGGCCCCCACGGCGGAAGAAGCCAGACCGCAGAAAGGCAGCGGCTTCACAAAGTCAGCCCCAAATCCCCTCCGCGCCAGCCCATTGGCAATTTCGTTGCCCGCATGGCCACTATGGCCCGGCACCCAAATGAGCGTGACTCTGTTCTCCGATGCCAATTCCATAAGTGCAGCCAAGCCGCAGACTAGCTTGGATGTAACCTGACCTGAACGAAGCGCCAGCAGTGCAGCCCTAATGTCCGAGAACACATAGAAGGTGCGGTTTCTATACCCCTTTTTTAAATTGATTCTCAGACAGATCTCTATTGCATGTATTTCGGCCTGGAACACCGTGCACTGTACTTGCGATCGAAGTTGTACCGCGGCAGACAGGTATCCGACATGGTTATTCTTAGAATCGGATCACTCTCAATGAAGTCTCTGTCAGTCCTGTGGGCCAACTTTAGCCTTGCCCTGTTCTCGCCAGAGAGAAGTCGGTAACTCACTAGCCGAGCTTCCTTCAAGATATGGAGGTGCAGTGACGGCAAACCGATCATCACCTTCAATGCAGCGGTAGGAGCCGCCCGCATTGCCCCGGTCACTCCCAGGCAGGCCAGCCTCTTTAGCTTTCCCAGCTTGGCCCGCACACCCGTCTGCTGAGCCTTACAGCACCATGCTATAGACGCATAGGTGACGATGGGCCTAGCAAGGGCCGTATATAGCCACAGCGCTATTTTGGGACTGATTCCGCAGGTCCCTCCGATGAAGCTCCTACAAGTCCACAAGGCCGCCGTAGCCCTCTCGATAACTCTATCTGTATGGGTATTCCAGGAGAGACGATCATCCAGGGTTACCCCCAGATACTTCACCTCCCCAGAGTAACTAATACGTTCACCAAACAGAATTGGGCTCGTTAATCTATCCTTGCTTCTCCATCTGGTGAAGGTGACTAAAGGGCTCTTGCTTGGATTTATATTTAACCCAATGCCTTCGCACCACCTTTCCACAACACGTGAATTTGGCTGTAGAGATCAGAAATAGTGTTCTCAAATTTTCCCCGTGCGACGAAGGCCACATCGTCGGCGTATCCCCAGACACGTGCCCCGGAGCCCCTGAGAGCACCAATTAGATCATCCAATACAATAGACCACAGGAGGGGCGAAGGAACCCCGCCCTGCGGACACCCTTTTACAGCGGAGATGAAGAGTATATTGTCGGCTATGGTGGACTTAATAATCCTATACAGTAGCATCCAACTAACCCATCCGCTAGTCGTCGCATCAATCCCTCGTTTGTGCAACGACTCGCAGATGACATGATATGGGGTGTTGCCAAAAGCTCCCCCTATATCAAGGAAGCAGCCGACTGCCACCTCCCGCATTTCCTGTGAGTTTTCAAGGACCCCCACCAGATTCTGCAGACCGAGTACAGTAGATCTTCCCGACTGATAAGCGTACTGAGACTCATGCAAGGGATTACTTCCCAGTGCATCGTCCCGTATAAATCTATCAATCAATTTTTACACTGCTTTCAATAGAAAAGAAGTGAGGCTGATTGAACGGAAAGACCTTGGGTGGTTGCTTGGTCGCTTACCCGCCTTCGGATTATACGCCACTTTGGCCACCCTCCATACCTGAGGGATGTAACCTTACGCATAGCTGGCACGAAAAATTTCCAACAGTGCTCTGGCGATATGTTGGAAACCCCTCCGTGGGCCAGGATGCCCACGGTTCAATGACCGCATTTGAGTGATTCCGAAGAATCTCCGAGTCAGGAAAGTGCGTTGACGCCATAAGCTCCAACGTCTGCTTTCCGTTCTCGGTAATGGAGCTATCAGGCCGTTCCATTAGGCCCAACTTTTTAAAAAACACCCTGTGAAGACGCGCACTGCTGGAGAGTTCATCAATGCCCTTGCAGAACGCCCTCCACGAAATTCTCTTCGCTTTCCTAATTTTTTTTGTTATATTTCGTGAGTGAGTTTTTATACTCTTCCCACGAACCCGACGTCTTGGCCTTATTGAATAGCTTTATAGTCTTTAGGCTAAGCCTTGAAAGCTCTTCATTGCACCACGGGCACTTCCTGTTGCTCCGCCTCGGCTTAGCGCGGCAGCTCCCATGGTAGGCACTAGTAATAGCCGCCGTCAGAGCCTCGCTGGCCAATTCGATATCCATCACCGTTGTGACAGAAGCAGGAATATATCCAATCCCATCCATGAGGAGTGTTTCGAATTGACTCCAATCTGTGGATTGAGGTACCCGATACATTTCTTCTGCCAGGCCCCCGGAGACCATGATATCAAACCTAATCTACCTATGATCGGATATGGATGTCTCATTTGAGACATGCCATCCACTAACCCTACTGCCGATAAATTCAGTGCAAAAGGTGATGTCAAGGACTTCTTCCCCGATTGCATTTATGAATGTCGGCCTATTGCCCTGATTCATAACCATTAATTTATTGCTATATATAAATTCAAGTAGGCACTAACATCGTTTGTCTATATTACTTCTTTCCCAGACGGTGTGGTGGGAATTGGCATCACTTTCTATTATAAGTTGGAAGTTCCTCCTTCCACAAAAGTCCACTAGATCTTTCAGTTGCTCGTCCGGGTGGGCACAGTCTCCCGAGAGGTAGGATGAGCACACAATGATATCTATCCAACCCCCGGACTTCACCTTCACCTACGCATCTACCTGATCCTTAGAACAGTAATCTGGAATGGGAAAATACGTTAGCCTTTTGCTAAACAAAATGCAAGCCCTAGGCCTGCCGCCAATTGTATTATCATACAATAGCTCACCTGTTAGGCCCTTAACCTGATCCTTCACTATGTAAAGCTCTTGGATAAGGGCAATATCGAGGTGTTACTTCATAAATCTATGAGCAAGAACATCAGTAGATACCCTAGCATGCTGTAGATTTATTTGGATGCACCTCACAGCCATATCATTTCCTCCGGCTCTTGTCAATGGCCTTGGCCCTTTAGACAAAGGCTTTACATGAGCCTTGCTTCCCATTGCCGCCTTTTTACGCATCTTGGTGGGCGCCTGCCCTGCCACAGCCACCGTCCTGGGTGCAACACTAGCTCCTTCAACAGCAAATACCGAAGCAGTACCAGGCTTCCCAATGGGCTTGGACCCTTTTGGTTCACCCGGGACGCTTGTATCCGGCGCTTTGACTTTCCAATGAGTTTTGGCTCTCTTGGTTGGCCTGAAGTGCTCGTCGTTGTCGCGGTGGGCGTTGGTTTTTTATTTTGTCCTGCCCTGACGCCAGCAGCTTCAGAGGATTTTCTTCCTTATATATATAGGAATAGAGGAATATAGGAATATTAAATTAAGACAATTTTACATATACATTCAAAATTTGCTCACGAATTTCTCAGGAGTAATTCTGTTTTAGAATGAATTAACTAAGAAGCTTATACAATTTAAGAACAATTTAAAAATAATTTCCTTAAATTTTATTAATCGACTGAATAACTTTTATATTGGATATGTGCAAAATATATTCGCTTGCTTAACAAAAACTTACTTAACAAAACATTTGATGATGTCAGCACATATCCGACCAAAATAGGTGGATTATTATCTACAATTTAGCAAAAATGTTAGAAAATTTTTTAAGCAACTTAGGAAGCTTTTAGTTAATATTCCTAGATAGACATCTCTCTTAAAGTAGTTTATTTGTACTTCCTTTGCACGGAGAAACGCATTGCCTGAAAACACCACATGTGAAATATGGTTTCATCAAATATTACATCCCTTCTTGTATGCGGCGGTTAAAAATAAAATTTTAAGCATTTTAAAATCTCTAAAAAAAGCAACAATCATTTGCAAATGGTGGCGTAACAAACCTTCTTGTAGTAAAATGCTACAGTAAGGATTTTGTAATCTTACGGTAATCTGACGCTGCAAATTGTTTTACCAAACAATATCTACCGAATTCATTAGCTCGCTGTATACAACTCAAAAGTTATTATAAAAGACAGAGATTGATGATGTTTTCCTTGTAATTTTCCAAAGGAACTCTAATCTTTTGCAAGTACCTCAATCATTTAGGTTCCATTCTCATATTCGATGCAAAGAAAAACACAATCAAAAAAAAATTATCATTTTCGTCTTGTCATATTTTATATAACGGCACTATATCATATATGAAATACCACATATAGAATATTAGGTTCTTATTTCACTCAAAATATTACTTTTTGTGAATTTAAAAATTTTCTTGTCTCATCACAAGTATGAAAACATCAAAGACAATTTCCCGATACTGGACCTAAACAAACGTACCCTATGAATCGCTGTATAAGTGAAAATATTTATTTTTATAATAACATAATTTTAATGGTGAATATCTTATACAATGGCAGCCAAAATAACATTAATACTCTCGGTAACAAGTTAGATAACATAACATGTTATAATGTATCTATCATTCCGATTTAATAACTCAAGTCTGAAACAATAAAACTAAAAATCCTTTCATTTCTCTACCTTAAATTTCTCATAAATTTTTTTTTGTTTTCATTTCATTGAGTTTTCCAGATGTTTTCTTAGAAAAAAAACTTACTCTTTCTTTTTTTAGTTTTAAAAATACTAATTTCCGCTTATGATCCATTTTTAGCATCCAACCTATAACATTCTTATATCCTTATTTTAAATTGTATGTATTCCCACATATTGTAAAAAAAATTTTATATACACGTGTATGTTTTTATGTTGAATTAAAAAAAATAGTTCAGGTTTTTTATAAAATGAAATAAAAAAAAGAAAAAGTAAACGAAAGATACAAGAAGATGGATCATTCATTCTATAGATTCAGTCAACATCTGGTGTAAAAATTAAGATGAATAAAGACGATTCTTCTTTTTCCATTTTTTTTTTTTCATTTTATTACGTTGACTCCTTTTAAGATACGTACGTTCTTATGAGCACCTTGACATTTTATTTTTAATGTTTTAACAAAAAAAAAAAATAAACGAGATTTGTATGTGAGAAAAAAAAAATTGAATTTCCTTTTATTTAAAACAATTCCCTTTTTCATCTTTTTCAGATACGATCTAATGGCTGGAGTTACAAGAGCAGAAGCTTTCTTTTCATTTAATTCTGAAGATGTTCAATATGGTATTGAAGCAGATAGAAGATCAAAAATTTTAAAAGCTTATGTTAAAAATACTTATTCATATCACCTGAATGAAATTTTTGCAACAATTGTTAATGAATATACTGATTGGGAACGTCCTGTTCAACATCCGATAAATATAAGGTAAGAAATTAAAATTTTGTTGATAATGATAATACTTTGAAAATTTCACGATTCGTTTCGAATAATCAAATTGGTTTTTTTAAATTTGATAAAAATTTGTTTTGAAATTTTTTATTCAACTGCAATACTAACATCTTCGTTAATCCTTTTTTCTAATCTTGAATCCCAACTTCTACTGCATTTACTGAATTACAAAGAATAATTGCTTTCGATATCTTCTTCATCTAGAAATTTATTCAATAAAATTAAACGTTTTAAATATTTCTGTAACAATAATATAATCAACCCATCTTACTCCACCGTGGTTAGGAACCAAGAACGGAACGAAAATATCAATTGTTCAAGTCATCAATTGGCATTAGGCAAAAAAATTTAAGAGCTTAACAATGTAATTGTTATCCTCGTCCTTCTCTTCTATAAAGCACTCCTTTTACCCCCTTGTTGAGTTTGTACAAAAGATAATATACAATAAAAAGCAGTAAACTCTTGGTTAATATACCCAACAACTAATGTTTATTATAAAAATATAAAAGTACTAAGGCAATTACTGACCAGTAGGTCATGAAAAATTACCAAAATATTACTATCCTTAAGTTTACTGAGAACCTTCTTTATTTTTTCCTTAGTTCTCCTTTTTTAAAAAGGAAATTGAAAAAATTCATATTTTTTAATTCATTGACCTTTCAAAAACTATCATTTTTACAAATTTAGCTACTTGTATTTATACAAAGAACACACAACAAAAAAAACTACACATTATATTTCTGAAAAGATTACATTTTTCATTTTGTGATAGAGTTGTTAAATTTTATTGACAACCGAAAAAAAAGACTACATATACGAGTATGTATGTAGTTGATTTCGTCAACTTTGGGGCATTTTCTAGGAATTCGAAAAATTTATTTATACAACTAAAATTTCTTCTCAGAAATCTTTCATTTTGGAATTATAGAAGCTTTTTCCATGACAAACGTAATATTGGTACAATTTCCTCTAAGACTTAGTATAATTATGTATGAATACGAGTAGCTTACTTACCCTGATATGTGTAAGGAATTCCTTCTAAAATTAATTTTAAGCAGTTTATTAACAACACTGTACTAATACTCTTTAACTGTTAAAAAATCATATTTTATATACGACATAACTTTTTGTCACAACATTTTGTACAAATCATTAATTTCGCTAATTAATCCGAGTACTGTTAAAACTCATCCAATTAATTACTAAAATGTCTTATTCAAAATATTTGAATAGAATGATGTTTATTACTGCCCCGCATGTTTAAATAACTTGGTTGTCTAATTCTATATAGAAATTTTAAATAAAAAAAAAATTCATTCTTTTGCTTATAAAAAATTTAAATTTGTCAAAAATTTCTAAAAATCTTGTTGAAAGTAATTAATTAACAATATTTTAATCTGAGCCCATTAATTTCAACACAACATATATGTTAGATACGTAGATGAAAAAAAAATGATTTAAATCTCTAAAATTTTTTTTTTTTGGTTAATTAATATATTACATAAATATTAAATACAAACATAAAAATAATAGAAACAAAAAATATAAACCTTTCCTCCAAATATATTTTCATTTTCCACCATTTTTACTTTTAAATTACAGTGATATCTGGTTTGTGTGAATACTAAAAACGAAAAAATATTTAAAATATTCAGAATTTGTTTTGATATTCACATTCCTCTTGATATCTTTGACAAACACTTACAATTGCCCACATGAAAATTGGCGGTTTCGAGTACTAGGTTCTTGAACAAAGTTAACAATTTAGTTCCTCAAGGACTGCACCTTTCTCTACGATTAGTGATTCCCAAAACACTTCTAAGAAATAATAATAAACTGCTAACCTTTAAGTCTCAAATGTGACTGGCTATATTTTTGAATAAATTAAAAATATTGTATATTGTATTGTGTACAGTGAATCATTAAATTATATCGCTTTAACATTTCATTCACAACCCTCCTTCCAAATAATTTCAAAAAAAACAAAAGAGACAAAAGTCTACCTCGAGAGAAGATGCTCGAGAGATGAATTATTGTAAAAGTGACAGCCCATTGACTAACTTAATACATGTAGTTATACGTACTCATCTATTGGTAGAAACACTAAAGGTATTTACATAAGACATGAGCTATTTCACTTAATTTGGCATAGACATTAAATAGTTAGATATGGCTAGGTAGATATAATAGATACACATGACTGCATTTTCGCACAATAATGATAATTATTCATCTCATACATAATAGATGTCTTTTATAAATGAGTTTTTTGTCTAATCTAAAATAAATACATAATATTATTACAGTAATAATTATAATAATATAAATTCTCTAATAATTAAATTAAATTTTCATAATATATCTAAATGTGATTATTTAAAAATTAATGTGTTTCGACATAAAAAAGTAAATTTTATATTCATTTTTTTGTTTTTTTTTCCTTTTCGTTTATGGTTAAAAATTAAAAACCTTTTATTATTTTGTAATTTATAAAAATGCAAAAAAAAAAAACCTGAAACAGTTTATTATATTTCATTTATGGTTTACGAAAAATAATTAGAATATGAAATGGTAAATTTATTTGTTACATAATTTATATTGTATAGCTACTATTTTGTATAAATGGAAAACAGTATGTACCATTAAAGATATTTAAATTCAAAGGGTACAGAATAACATACAGAAATGGAGTAAACCTGTTATAAATAACAGGTTACTCTAATAAAATTCCGAAATTTATGACATTTATTAAAATCTATTATAATTAACGGTTAAAACAAGAATGTAAAACTCATATATTAAGTTGAATATAAAATTTTTAAATTCGAGCTGGGACCACACGGGGTATAATATTTTCAAAAAAGTATTCAAACAAAATTTGGAGAGTTTTTGGATACTTTTTTTGTAGAGTTTTTCAGGTCCTCACAAAGGATATATGTCATGAGGAACATACTCGTATTACCTTAAGCTTTCAAAAGACATTTTCATAACTCAAGATCTAGGAGTATTGATGCTCAAAAAGCTGTGAAACAATAATGTTGTTGAGATTTTGGAAACCTTTTCAAAGATATACCGCATAACTATATTTGCTGAATTTTTTTAAAGCATCTACGCGATCCTTGTAAGCGAACTAACATTTTTCAGTGGAATCTTGATCATTTTCAATACCAAACTGAGTGCAAAAAAAAATTTGCACCTCAAGTGCAAAGCCTATAGCTCTTCTCAAATGAACGCTTTAACTCAGATAAATGAACTCAGAATTTGATTCAAAGCTAGAATATAAGTACTTTATGAACACAGAGTACAAGCTTTTTGTATAATCACTGGCAGAAAATTGAAATTTTGACTCACAACTATGTTAAATGAATCTGCCTTCATACCAAATTAAAAACTACAATATTTTTATTGTTGATTGCAATCAACTACACGTCTTAAGTTTCTTGTTTCGAAAAACATCTTTCTATCAGACCTGCGTACAAAGAATATAACAATAGATTTTAGAGATATTGAAAATGACATCAGTATAATATCATTTAATTTATTAGTGAAGAACAAACGCATTTAATACGAATTAAATCTTTTCTTAACTTTCTCGTTTCCACCCAAATATTCTCGAACAACTTACCATGTTAAATTGAAACACCCATTTTTATAATAAATTAAAAATTTGATAATTATTTTTTATATAGCACAACAAAAAACAAATATAAGCAAATAGAAAATTAAAGCTTAAAATAAATTTTGTTATATAAACTAACAAATTAATTATGGTAATCTGAATTTTCTAAAATTTAATATCCATAATAAATAAATTAACATTTTGGTTTTAATAATTTATTTAAAAAATATTTATTTCTTTTTTGCTTTCTATTTATTTACTTTAATTCGATATATGAAACTTTAATTAGAGATGAAACACTTGAGGCTTTAAGTGATGCACAAATTGTTGCACCATCAGCTCATACTGTTGAATTACATTCAGCAGAACATAGAAGATCATATATGTATGTTTTTGATTATCAAACAAAATTCGGTGATTTTCCTCAGGTAAGTCTTTTAATTAAATACTTGTAAAATATTAGAAATTAAGTTTACTCTTATGTGTAATTAAATTTTTGTTAAATGTACCCATAAAATATACATACATGCATACCGCATATATTCGTATGTGTACAAAACCAAAATAAAATACTTTATAATTCGAAATGTCCTTGGTATAAAATTTGTATTGAAATCCTTGGTAAAGTATAATATTTTGTTTAAATTATTCATATAATGTTGTACATAGATGAGGACGACCTAATATTTTGTGTAAAAGAAGAAAATTGGAATAATTTTCAATAAAATTGTTTTTTATACACATAAATAACGAAAATGCTATGTAGTATGTATTTTTAAATTAATTAAAATCTTCCTTGATTTAAAATATTTATTTTTTTAGAAATTAAATTTCTGTATTAAAATCTGTGATCTTAGTAGTTTATTTAAAAACTACTTGTTACGTATAATACTACATGTATTACTAAGTCCAATATAATTGAGCTTAGTCAACATGAAATAAGACGAGAAGCGTCTGTCGAACTGTCTTTTTTCCTGGTTATCAGAGGGAATAGTTCTGTCGTAGCAAAATTTCCCTCAAACTCAAAATCTTCAGTATACCTGTGACCGAAATTGTTCTAGCAAAATTTCCCCAATGCACAAAAATTTAAAAAAAATATGTTCAGCCACTTCAGCCGTGGCAAAATCTTGAAGAAAACTTAATGAAATTACTTATGCACATTGAAGGAAGCTTATCCAACACCTTTTCGAATTCTCTCTGATAAAAATTGGACCATATGATTTTATCTTCAATAAAGTTAATACAATCCTAGAAATAGCAATATTGGATTCCTTTCTACAAATCTATAAATAAGAATGCAGTTGCAGATACACGATATTGTTTCCTAATCACTGGATGACTAAGCTTATCAGTCTGCTTGTTGCGGAATGTGAACATCGTTGGCAAATACCCATCTTCTTTCGGGCATAATAAACTTAACAAAATGAGACATTCTTTGTAACGGCCCGATATTGGCTGTTCTATACCTTAAAATTATTTTATTTATAGTTTTGTCATCATTGGAAAATTGCTCTCAAAATCCGTTAGTGATATTTCCCGCTTTATACTTGGAACAGGGTTGCTATAGACAAGAGCGTAAGGGGGATATCTCCCTGCTGTCATTCGATACTCTTAAAATATGTAACCGGCTGCTTATTGGTATAGCGTCATAAATGCAACTAAACTTCAGTTAATTGGAAAAATTGTATCAGAATTTTTCAGAATCAACGTTATTTTGTTTTTCTACCATTTAATAACAATTTATTTTGATAAATTCTTTTTGACAACAATTTATTTAAAAATTGGAAACGTTTGATATTTTTTTTCTTATTTTCACCTTAATTCTTCAAAAACTGAATATGCAAAAATTAAAACAATTTTTTATATATATAAAAAATAAAATCAACAATAAAATTCCAAATTCTTTTCAATATTTTTAAATAATTGTGATATTGTGGCATTTGCATATATCGAAAAAAAAAAAACAATATCTTTTTTTAAACAGAAACAAAGAGAAAATTAATTTAAATTTTACATAAACAAACTTTGCCTGATATTTGTCTTATTTTTAACGCTACTGAATTTCATATTTCCAGGTGTTTTTCATTAATCCTGATAATATAACTTGGAAAGTTGATTGTTTTCTCCCATTCGCATTATTATTGTTTTTATTTCCTTTCCAAACATATTTTCTGTGCGGCTGTCTTATTACAAATCAAATTACGGAGAAAGTTTTCCTCCAAGTCCAATAGAAAATTCTATCAATCCATTCATGTAAGCATTTATTACACAACCTTAATGATAGTCTTGAACATATTCGATGATTTCATCACAATTAGGAAGTAGTCTTAGATAAAACTTCTGAATCCCAAGAATTTGAAATTTTATGGAAATCTGTTTCAGAAAGTCTTAAAAAATGTATTTCAATATTTTTTTAGAATAGAAAAGCTTTCCCGTACCGTAATTCAACACTTCCAATATTTAAGAAATTTGTGATTTTTATTTTGCTAAAGAATGTTTATAAATATTATTATGTAGGCACACTTGCATTTGTGCTTAAAAATTTCAATTGTTTTTAGCGTTCATTGCTATCTGATTGTAACAATTTTTTTAACAATTACCCTCATGTAATTTAAGGCACACGAGCAGACAAATTTCCTTAGAAAAATTTCTTATTAATTATCACAGTTGAAAGATAATAAGTGCCACAATTTCGACACATTATTTTTGTTTACAAAGCATGGATGTTATTAGCTTCATATGGATGTGGTACTTGTGTGTACTGTATGATGAATGCGGTATTTGTGTGTGTTATACGTAACGTTAATAGCAATCAAAATATTAATATTGTATTTGAATGTTTTGCTGTTTGTTAAATTGAAACCCATCCCATACTAGTAGAGCCTATTATACAAAAACAACAAATATAATGACATATTAGGTATGTATGTATGTATGTAGATATATTTATAACTTCTGAAAGAATAATGAAATTAATAAAACAGCATGTGACGACGTAATTTGTAATTTTAAATTGAAATAATTTTTATACAACTTTGAAAATTAAAATTTTTTTTTTTCGAAAATTGTCGTTGACAAATAAATTTCTAAGAAATTTATTTGCATTTTGATAAATGAGTTTAATTTCGCATATCAATCCCTTTATTTATTGAATTCTTTAATTTGATTCTTATTTTAAAATTGAAAAAGTTTTCTTACAATTTTTAAACAAAGGTTATCCAACAATTTGTTAGGACTAGATCAAACATTTTCCATAACCTTATAGATAGTCCAAATTATTCATTATTAAATGTTTCTTTAAATTGTTCATTACAGAGACAAGGATGTATTCACGGTGAGGAGTTACCATACCTTTTTGGTGCGCCATTAGTCGGTGGATTTAGTCATTTTACACGAAATTATACAAAGTCTGAAGTTAGTTTGTCAGAAATTGTTATGCTATACTTTTCTAACTTTGTTCGATCTGGGTAAGTAGCTTTTGCAATATTTTTTATAGATTTTTTTTAGTATGCAATTTAATGTTCAAGAGATATGTATTTTATATTGACATCAAGCATAAGATCATTAATATTTTGCGGCGGACTTAAGCTGCCAAATTAGTATAGATATCGTTGTTTTTAACAGATTTTTTTTTCACAATGCTACTTTCATGTGGTATAAATTTGAGCGGGTACCTTTCTATCATATATTTGACAATCGTCCGTCGCTAAGATCTCAAATCTGAAAATTGATTCAAAATAACTAATGGCTTTTAATGCAAAAATTCGGCAGACTATTCAAAGCCAATATTACGTATTTTACTCAAAGATGTTCAATTCAAACATTTATATTAAATAATTTTACATATACGTGCTGTTTGCAACACATTTGATTTAATGTGCTATAAAATAAATTTTCGATTAAAATATGATCCTTAAAATATTCACTTACAATTAAATTATGCCCATATATTTTCTTTCTCCCTTTTTATTTTTATTCAGAAATCCAAATGAACAAATAACTGATGGTGAATTGAATACGAGACATGAAAGAAGTCGCTATAAAACAATTGAATGGACTCCATATGAATCTGTTCATAAAAAATATTTAAATTTTGGTAAGTGATTCACAAATTGTTGAAATTTATATTCAATTAATTTTTTTTTTAAACCAATAAATTATTTTAAATGTTCAATGTGTTAAAAATTCAACAGATACAAAACCAAAATTAAAAAATCATTACCGCGCCCATCGATTATCATTTTGGTTAAATTTAATACCAGAACTTCATAAACCGGGTGGTGACAATGTACCTCCATCACATCATCAACTAGAGGATGAAGTTATTGATAATGAAACTACTGATAATGATCCAGAATCAATTAATAAATTAAATCCATCGATTAAAGGCACTGGTATTGGAGCATCATTAGGAAATGGTGGAATTGGTAGTGGAGGTAATCGTCCAATATCAAATTACACGATATTCACGACTCAAGTATTTTCATTATTTAATTTATCATCACCATCATCAGCCCTAAACCGTAATAATATTTCACGTTATAATAGTAATCAAAATAAAATTAATCAAGATTTAAATACAGCTGATCAACAAACTGGTAATAGCAACACAAATAATGGTGGCAATAATAATTCATCACAAGAGGATGGTTTTGCTGCTTATAGTACTGCATTAAGTGTTACAATCGCCATCGGTTGTAGTTTATTAATATTAAATGTATTAATATTTGCTGGTGTTTATTATCAAAGAGATAAATCAAGATTACATGAATCAAGAAATGGTCATCATGGTCATCATCATTCACAACATAATACACAACAGAAAAAACAACGTAATGAAAATGGTCAAATGCCAAATAATATATGTGGTGATTTAGAAACATTAACAATACATTCAAAAGGTGATCCAGCAGCAATATTAGGTCATCATCATTCATTACAACATCATCAGATGCCACCACCAGAATTTGCTGATTTACCACAACGAGCACCACCACCACCAAAACATTTAAAATCTGTACCAGAAGGTAGTATATTACCACCACATGCATTAAAAATGATTGGTAATCCATGTAATACATTAACAAAAAAAAGTTGTATGAAACAAACATCAAATAATAATAGCAATTGTAATCAAACAACAGTTATGAGTAATGTTGTTCAAACACCAGGTGGTGGTAATACAGTTAATGTTGGTATTGTTGGCTGTGGTGGTAATCAACAAACAATGATGGATGAATTAAGAGTGTGACATTAAGTAAAAGTTGTACAATTTGATTTTTAAATAAATTAAAAATATATATATTATAAAAAAAAAAAAAATTATATTAATAAATAAAAATTAATTAAATTTAAATAAAACTAATAAAGAAAATTTTAGTTATATAGGTGAAATTATAAAATGAAATTTAAATTTATTATAGAAATTAGTTTAAAAAAAAAATGGAAAACAAAAAGTGAATAAAATATAAAAAAAAAAACTTTTTTACACTTAGTTTATAAATGTGATCATCAATAAGTAATAAAGATTTTTTTAAATAAAATGCATAAATTTAAAAATATATTAAATTGGTAATATTGAATATTGTTTCAAATATAAGTAAATTATTTATACATAATAGAAAAATAATGTGAAAATCATCATTTAAGCATTTCCTATATATTTACCCGACATTCAATTAAAAATAAATCAAAAAATTTGAATAACAAAAATAAGAAAATACCGCAGAGAAAAAAAATATTATCCAATTTAATGTAAAAATAATTTTTTAAAATTATTTTCTAAAAATCCAAAAATTTAAATCATTTATGAAGTTTATAACATAAAATAAATTTTAAAATTTCCATTCCGTATGAGCGCAAAAAAATTAATAATCAAAAAATATTTGTAAATTAAAATCATAAATTAAATTTGTTTCAACTTAATTAGACTGATATTTTAATTTAATATTTAAAATAAATTTAAATTTCAAATAGCTACTACAATTAATTTTTGTAAAGGCTTTTTAAGGAATCAAATATAAAGCAAATTTCCTAAAATTCATAAAAATTAGAGTATTTAATGAGAAAAATGTTATAAAAACTTCGTAAGGAGTAATTGCACTTATAATATTTGTTGTCGTTCCGAACTGAACCGAATTATAATTTAAAAAATTTCAATGTTCCAGTATTTTTTATACCCTGCACTTCGTGAAGGGTATATTAACTTTGGTATGGAGTTTGTAACTACTTGAAGGAGTCATCTGCGGTATGGACATATATATATATTCTTGCTCAGCGTAAAATTCTGCGTCGATTTAGACATGTCCGTCCGTCCGTCCGTCCGTCCGTCCGTCCGTCCGTCCGTCCGTCCGATCGCACGATAACTCAAAAACGAATAACGCAATCGACACCAAACTTTCACAAGTTTTTTCTTTTGTGCCAAGGACGAACCCTATTGTTATTGGACTAAGTCGGACAACGGGTTCGGGTAGCTGCCATACAACTCCAAGAGTTTATTTTAAATATTTCAAAAACTAATAAAGCTATAAATATAAAATTTTGTATACATGTGTCCAATTATATTCTACACATGCTCTAAAAATTATAATGGGATAGCTGCACCGGTTCGTGTGGCTGCCATACAACTTCAACAGCAAATTTTTTATATTCGGCAAAATAATAAAGTCAGATTCATGGAACTTGGCAATCATGTGTCCAATTATAGGTCAAATATATTTCCGAAGTTTTGGAGGAATTGCTTGACAGGTTCGGGTACCTGCCATACAACTCCATAAGCTAATTTTAAATATTTGGAAAAATAATAAAGTCAGATTCATGAAACTTGGCAGCTGTGTGTCCGATTATAGATCAGATATATTTGTGAAGTTTTAGTGGAATTGCTTGACAGGTTCGGGTACTTGCCATACAACCCCAAAAGCTTATTTTAAATATTTGGAAAAATAATAAAGTCAAATTCATGAGACTTGGCAGTCGTATGTCCAATTATGGGTCAGATATATTTCTACAGTTTTGGTGCGATTGCTTGACAGGTTCGAGTAGCTCCCATACAAGTCTAAAAGCTTATTCTTAATATTTGGAAAAATAATAAAGTCAGATTCATGAAACTTGGCAGTCATGTGTCCAATTATGGGTCAGACATATTTCTGAAGTTGTGGTGGAATTGCTTAACAGGTTCGAGTAGATCCCATACAAGTCTAAAAGCTTATTCTTAATATTTGGAAAAATAATAAAGTCAGATTCATGAAACTTGGCAGTTGTGTGTCCGATTATAGATCAGATATATTTGTGAAGTTTTGATGGAATTGCTTGACAAGTTTAGGTACTTACCATACAACTCCAAAAGCTAATTTTAAATATTTTGAAAAATTATAAGGTCAGATTGATGAAACTTGGCAGTCGGATGTCCAATTATAGGTCAGACATGTCCGTGAAGTTTCTATAGAATGATCTCACAGGTTCGAATAATTGCTACACAATAACGAAAGGTGCAGGGTATAATTCAATCGGTTTATACCGACTGAAACGTTTTTACTTGTTATTTTTGAATTCGAGAAAATTTTTTTTGCGAATTATTTTTAAAGAATTGGAAGTTGTCGTCTACTTTTATTTTAAGACATTAATGAGCTCTAAAAAATATCAAAAAAATTTTTTTATATTTTGACATTTGGCCTTACGACAATTTAATATTTTTCAAACATGAACTTATTTTCTGTTTTAGGCTTTTGTCAAAGAAATTATTTTTAATAGCTATTTAAAAATTCTGACAAAGTTCTGTTAATAACAAAATGAGACACATTTCTTTTAAAAACAAATTAATTAGCTTCATGAAAACTTCTTTCGAAGTACAGCTGTCATAAGCTTTCGCGTAAGTAACCATTTCTAAAATATTAAGTACTTTCACAAAAATTATTTGCTTTGACAACGTTTTCAAAATTTACATACCATTCTAGTACACGCTTTTTATAATTATGTATTTATGTCAAATTATAAGCTTTATGAAATTAAGGCTTGACATTTATGACACACATTAAGTGATAATTTTGACGGATATGATGTGTACGGTACTTTGCACATACATTTCAACACATGAAATAATTCTTCTTATTCTTCCATACCATATTACATTAAACGAGCAAATAAGCTCAAACATTTAGAAACTTCCTCTTAAAAATTTAAGTAATAATTAATCATTTAAGTTAAATTTTCATTGTGTTCAAGAAAACATTTCTTAATTTACTTTATAATAAGTATAAAATGTAATAATATGTCATATAACTGTCATTTTAATTATCTAATATTCTTACACCATATAAATTTATAAAATATGAAATTATAATTACATTTTGCTATTTTTCAATGTTAAGGGTTTCGCAATATACGTACATACATACATAAATATAGGTAAATTAAATTCCGTTCTAAAATTAATATATTAACTGATATACCAACTATATACACATGAATTTCTTTATATAACCAAAGTAAGGTTATACCGACACAGCTACTTATAAATTTCATATTCTGTGTATAAATACCGAGGAAGTCATAAAATTTTTTTTATTTTTAAAAAAAATTGGTTATTGTTCTTGTTACTTTATCTTTAATGAAAATTTTTTGATTAAAACACAGAAATTGTATATATGTTTATTATTTATAATAATATTCATATTACAACATTTGCATACCTTTATAGATATTTGCTATTTAATTTTGTGTTATATAAAATGAAGATTTATATTACATAAAATTCATATAAATAAAATACTTGTATAGTGTAAAGAAATTTAATTAAAATTTTGTAAATTTTAAATTAATAAATATAAACTACAAACTATATTAAATTAACTACTGTTATTCGAATATTATTATATTGCATAATATGCAGTAAAATTCAATTATAAAGAACGCCTATTTGAGAAGAATTTCGATTAGAAAAAAAACCGATTTTAAAACAATATTTTTAAATTAAAACAAGCTTTTACTTGCAGCCTATTCTGTTCCTAAGTCTCATTCTGTTCCAAAATAATCTTCAATACTAAAATCTTTTTTCTTAATTCCAATCAGATTATTTATTTTTCCTCAATTTATCATGTAAACATTTGATTTAGCTCACTACCTTCCGAAATAAAGTGACTATATTATGAATCACTTCACTGGTAACTAAATATTCCACATTTTTTTGTTTTTTTTTTTTGAAAAATGATTGATTGGTTGACGTGACAGGTGCAGCAGGTCTACTTCACTCAAATTAGCACAAATGTGCAGTTTTACTACCAGTACTCCGTGCTTACCAGACCGTCATTGAGCATACGATTACAGGTGATCTATCTAAGCCATCCGGTTTCCTTGAAGAAGCTATCTAAATCCCCGATGATAATCTTTGATATCTCGTCTAGCTCCGTTTGTCACCACATGATACTCGCAGAGAAGGTGAAATACAGATGGAATCAAATTGAACAGTTTTGCCAAAATCAAAAATAAGTAACAAAAAAAAACAAAAAATAAAATATAAGAATACTGATAAACTTAATTTTTCAGTAAAGTTTAATTTACCTAGAATGTACTGTACAATTTTATGTATAGATCAGATTTGAATATAAAATAAAAGTTATTATATTATTACATGCAATATTTATATTAATATTTTTTGATTAAATTAATTAAATTTTTGGAAATTTATTATTAATAATGAAATTTAAGTTTTACGTATTATAAAACTGATTTGTTGCTTCCAACTTTGAAAAACAAGCATTAACTATTATTAAATTTAAATTTACATTAAATATGCTTCGAAAATCAAAGGGATCTTAATAAAATTAATAAAAACCGAATATGAAATTTGCCTTTTTTTAATTAAACGTGTTTTGCCTCAAGGATAAACTAATGGTAATGAAATACTAAAACTCCGTCTTCATAAATGCAAAATTATCACTCGTATAGTATGTAATCGTAACCCATATAAACTTATATTTGATTCCTTATAAAATAAAATCCCGGGAAAACAAAATTTTTTCAGGATAACAATAAAATTAATTCAGGTTTTCCTTTAAAATAATTTAAGAAAAATTAAATTGTATTTTATTTTAATTATTTATGTGTTCTTTTATTTCAGACAATTAAAAACCACTACCATTTTAGTTCTATAAATTTTCAAATCACTTGGTTTTTTAATAATGACAATTAGTTTTTATATCTTTAGTCTCTTGATAATTATTATAACTTAGGACCAAAAAAAAATATATAAATATAATATAAAAATGTTAAGTAAATAAATAATATTAATTTAGTATAAAATTTAATTAATTGCACTATAAAACAAGAAGTACATATATAGTGTGTTCTAAAAATAATTCAAATATATTAGAATTTAAATTATTAATAAATAATATTAATATTAATATAATAGTGTTATTATTGTGTACAATATAAAATTAAATTTTACAATTTTGTTTACGAATTTTTAAATATTGTGTTTTCCATTGACAAATTTTAAATTTCTTTTATATATTCGAAAATTTTGTTAATA